CTCGAGGTCGAGCACCTGCGTCTTGGACCGAGGGTGTTTCGGGTTCAGGGTTTAGGGGTTGAGGGGTTTAGGGTTGATGGGTTTAGGGTTTAGGGGTTTAGGGGTTTAGGGGTTTAGGTTTAGGGTTGGGGGTTTAGGGGTTTAGGGGGTTTGGGGGTTTATAGGGTTTAGGGTTTAGGGTGTAGGGTTTAGGGTTTAGGGTTGGGCCGAGGGCCTTTTTTGAAAAGGCTTAGTCGGGTTTTTAGGACGGGAGCTGTGTTGGAGCTTCGAAACCTAACGCTTAGGGTCTGGACTGGTGGGTTCAGGGTTTGGACTTGAGGGTTTAGGGTTAACTACCTGGGAGTTTTTTCCTTTAGGGTGCCACGGACTTCGAGGATTTTGGACTCAAGACTTCGAGGGTTTAGGCTGTAGCATGGCAGGGTTTTGCGGCGTGTAGGACTTATGGCTTAGGGCTTAGGGGTCGCGCAGGCAGGATTTGGGGTGTAACGACCTCTCTGTAGAGTTGGAAGGTCTGCTGCTGCTTTGATCCCCGAAACCCCTAAACCCTACACCCTTAACCCTACACTCTAAACCCCAAACCCCAAACCCTAAACCCTAAACCCTAAACCCGAACTGGAGGGGCTTGGGGGACCCGGTTTGGGGTTCAGGGTTAGGTTTAGGGTTTCCCAATAGAGAGAGCTCGTGCGGTACTTCCATGTCAGCATCGGTCCCCAACCGTGAAAGGGGACATACGATAGAAACCTAAGCACCTATCAACCGCTTATCCAGTCTCATGTCCCATGCATGCTCTAAACGCAGCCCTGTTCTGGACCGGACGGGTTTTGTCACATTCCCGAGGGTTTGATCATCAAACAGGGTTTTGGTGAGGTTCCCGAAAGGTATAGGGTTTAGGGTTTAGGGCTATACTAAATCCGGAGCCTTGAGGCATGAGATGCTGAAGGAGGAGGACCTGAGCAAGTTCCAGCTCCGAGAGAACGGCACCGCCGTCCTGGCCTACAACCAGTTTCAGGCGCTGATAGGGTTGAGGGTTTAGGGTTTACGGTTGGTTTCGGGGGATGAAGTTAGGGTTTCAGGCTTCTTATGGAGGTTTCTGTTGCTGGATTTTGGGGAGCCCCCAGCCTCAGATTCCCAACCCTGAACCCAGAATTAGAAAAATGCACGTTTCAAGCCCCTCCAAAGTCTCTGGCTCAGGCCGACGACGGCTCTCTGGCACAGCTGCCGGTCTACACGGTGGAGTCCGTCGATGGCGGTCGGCAGGTGGGGGTTTTCGGCGTCTGAAATCGGTGGGGGGCTGAGGGCCGAGGGTTTCGGTTTTGGGGTCTTAGGGAAGTTTAGGGTTTCTGGGGTACTTGGGGTATTGACGCAAGAGCCCCATGATTGCTTAAGGCCAGAGCGGATGGGAACGACAGAGCCGTTGCCTTTGAATTTCCTGAGCCTGTTCTGGTTCAAGCCCGCCTTGTGATTCAGCTCTGCTCTCACTTCGAAGCCATGGCGCTGCCAATGAAGACCGCTATGAAGAAGGTCGTGAAGTCCGGTGCTATGAAGGCCAAGACCACGATGAAAGCCAAGGCAATGAAGGCCATGAAGAAGAAGGCCGTGTCCAAAATCGCCATGGGCAAGCGCGCGAAGTCCGTCGTCTTCCGTGGCAGCAAGGAGAAGACCTCGGGTGGCCTCGCGAAGTCTCAGTTGATGAAGAACAAGCGAGGCAAGGTTGTGAGCAAGAAGATGCACGCCAAGGGGAAGACGATCCAGAAGTTCGTGCAGCGTTGGCTCGACTCCGTGATGACGGCTCGGAAAGAGCTCGGAATCAAAGGCTTCTGCGCAGTGGGCGGTAAGAGTGCCCAGGGCAAAGCCCTCTATGCCAAGGCGAAGGCGCTTTACGCAGCTTGAGTCCGAAGGGGCATGGCCCGCTTTCGTGGTCATTCACGGAGCGGACGGCCCCTGAGAGCGCCACAAGAGCCAGATGTTGTACAGCTGTTATTTCACTAATTAGAGCCCTAGAGTGAAATTACAGAATAGCGGGGAAGCTTCTGACGACGCCTTCCGGCCACAGTCCCGAAACAAGATCGTTGCAGGAGGTTCCGGCATTCCTGCACAAGTTGACTTGAGCCACAAGTTGACTTGAGCCCCTCTCTACCTACCGTGATACCTATACCTCTCTCTCTATATATATATATAAACATACACACACATATGTATATATATATATATATGTATATACATAACATACTTATAATTTACTATAGCATTGACAAACATATATATATATGTATATATGTACATATGTATGTGTATGTATATATATATATATGCAAGTATATAAAGCCAGGTGAACAGCATCTCCGACATCAGCCCAAAGAGAAAGTTCTTCTCGATGCCGAAGCTCGGTTGTTGTTTGGGTTTAGGGTTTAGGGTTGTTTGGGGGCTACGTTTTGCACAGGGTTTAGGGTGCAGGCAGTGCAGGGTTTACGGTTGTCTTGAGGTTAGCTTATCTTTTTTTTAGAAAGGGTTTTATCAAGGTACGAAAGGGCTTCACACGGGTGCCATTTAAGAGTGCTGTAGGGAGGTTTTCTGGATTTTCCAATGTAGGGCTTTATCGGAGGTAGCATTGGGTTTCGGAAATGTTACGTTTGCATCTAGGGTTCAATGATCCTTCAAACAGAGATCCACTTCGATAGAAGCCCAGCTACTGTACAACTAGAAATTCCTACAACTGAAGTGGCACTGCAACTATTACGACTACTCGTAAGTAGTATTAGTATTTTTCATACCTAGTATTACAAAAAGTATAATTAGTGTCGTTGCTATTGTTATTATTACTGTTGTTATTTGCTTTACATATATATACGTATGTATATATATATATGTATACATGTGTGTGTATATATATATACTTATATGGCTAGGTATTTGCTATTCGCGTATTATTTAGTATTCTCTTACGATCGATTATTTAGTATTCATTCTTTTCTTTATTAGCTACTGACTGTTTCTTTTTCATGATCATTTAGTGTTTGTTTTCGTTGGTGATCATTTCTTGTTTCGTATTGTTTATTTATTGTCTGTTGTTTAATGTTTATTATTTGATATTTGTTATTTTTTGTTTGTTACTCAATATTTACTATTTCTTGCTTATTATGATTTATTATGTATTTAAAATTTAATGCTGTTTATTAAATTATCATGTATTGTTACACTTATTATTTTGTTGTTATGATTCCTATTGTTTTTACATTCATCATCATTATTTCCATTAGTTCTATTGTTGTTATAGTGTTCTTCTAATCATTTTTCAGGGCTGTACCCCAGGAAGTGCCTGCCCTCAACCTCAGTTTCGCAGCAATCGCATCGGTAAGTCTCGCATCTTCACTCCGAGAACCTCAACGCCAAGCCCTAGAACCCCAAACCGAAACCCTAAAGCCCCAGACCTCCAAACCGTAAGCATTTCCGGTGGAGCCCGGTACGGGAAACAACCCTAAACCACAAGCCCTAAAACCCTGAACCCTAAAACCCTAAACCCTAAAAACCCTAAGACCCCAAACCCTAAAACCCTCAACCCTAAAACCCTAGACCACAGGAAGTTCCTCCGGCCGAACGCCATCCAAGCGGAAGTAGAGGACCCGGCCTCGTGGACCTATTAGGTTTGGTTTTGAATGTTTTTGTGGGTTTAGGGTTCATAAACCCTAAACCTACCAAAAAAATCCAAAACCAAACTATAGCGTTAGGGGTTCTATAGAATTCTGTGTATTGTCTTCGGCGGTTTTTGCAGGGTTTGAGGGTCTAGGCATGAAGGTTTGGGCCTCACGAAGTTCGTAGCTTCGACTTTTTGGGTGTGTTTCATTCCTTGGGGGTTCTTGGGTGTTGGGTGTTGGGGTTCGGGCTTGGGTGCAGAGTGTAGAGGCAAGTGATATTTTTTCCTTCAGTGTTCAAATTTAGGGGTTTAGGGGTTTAGGGTTTAGGGTTTTCAACTTTACTGGAAGATGCCCACAAGCATACACCCCAATCCATTCCCAGGTTTTCGTGGTCAGGCCTTCGCCGCTTGGCAAGCGCAACCATGTTCCCGCGGATGAGCGAGGCTGGCCTTGTTACAACAAAATGCCAGGATCCCGATCATCATAAACCCTGAACCCTAAACCCTAAACTCTAAACCATCAGGCAAGAGGGGCTTCATCAGGAGATAACACACACATCGGAAACTCCAGACCCTCTTTTACACTCCTAAACGCCTCAACCCAAGGCCCTACACCCCAAAGCCTGAACCCTATGAGCCCTTAGACCCTAACCCTGAAACCCTAAACCCTAAACCCTAAACCCCTGAACCCCTGAACCCCCGAACCCCTAAACCCCTAAACCTAACCCTAGGTCCATAAAACCCCAGAAGATCCGCAAGGCTGGATCTACTTCGAGCGCCTCGTGTCCACCATCAGAGTCGCCCTGACGGATGAGCAGCCCCCCGATTCCGATTCGAGCTTTTGGGGGTTTAGGGTTTGGGGACTAGGGGCTTACTGTTCCGGGTTGAGGCAGTATAAGGGTTCAGGGTTCAGGGCTTGGGGTTTAGGGGTTTAGGGAACAGGGCTTAGGGTTTCGAAAGAAGCCCCGAATCCCAAGCCCTACATCCCAAAGCCCCAAACCCCAAAACCCCATGTCCCAATCCCAAAGCCACCCTAAACTCCCAACTCCCAACCCTAAACCCTCAGCCTCCAGACCCTCTTCTGCGGCAGCTCCTTCATCCATAAGATCTTGAGGTACGCCGCCCGGACTTGCTACTCCAACATCCCCGAGCTGAAGGTGTCAATCCTGAATCGTGCCACCCTGCTGAGGCCACCGGGGCCAAAGCCCCGGAATTCCCCACAAAAAACGTCTGAAGCCTTAAACACCTCTAGGCGCTCAATCCTAAACCTTAAAGCCATAAAATCCCTAAGCCCGAAGCCTTAAGCCCTAAAACGCTCAATCCTAAACCTTGGACCATCGGTCCTTAAGCTCTAAGCCTTAAACCACAAGCTCTCAAACCTGAACCTTAAAGCCACAAAGTCCCTAAGCCTTAAGCCCTAAGACCCCTGAGGCGCGCAGCCTCCACGAGCAACGCAGCCCTGAAGCACCAGTTCGAGACGTACATCTCGGAGATCAAGCTCCCAAGCTTCGATTTTCATCATGTGTTTTTTCTTTTCCTTATTCCCATAATGCAAGACTCGTATAGGCATTTATGGGATTTTGTCCGAGCTTCAAGATGTTAATTGCAGCGGTTGAAAGGGTCTGCAAGCCTTTCTATACAGGTTCCTCGACTCAGCACGAAGCAAAGCACCACACAAAAAAGCGCACTGACATGAAGCAACGGCCCCCAACCCCAAACCCAAACAGCCAAAGGAAAGCACCAGATCGAAGAAGGATATCAACATGCCAAACGAGTTTGAACAACACGGGCCAAACAGCAAACCCTAAACCCTAAACCCTGAGACCCTAAACCTTAAATCTTAAGCCCAGGACGAAGACCTTTGCAGCCACCTCTCTGGACAAGAAGAAAGCCTCGGCTGCCACGAAGGTCTCTCGGGATGTTTTTGCATATTATGTAGGGTTTAGGGTTTTGGGTTTGGGGTCTTCGGTTTAGGGTTTATGGTTTAGTGTTTTGGGTGTTGGGTTTAGGGTTTAGGGTTTATGTAACTTCTATGGCTACTAAAGCAGATGTTCTTTCTCTTGATGTTAACAAGATATTGTTACGATTAATATCATTATCGCTATTGTAGCTGCCATTATTACACTTATGACCACCGTTGCTTGTTGAGAGGGATCTCAAACATCAGGATCCTTAGAATCCGGGACGCCAGACCCTGTAAGGGTATGTGAAAATACTAAAAGATTAGTACATGAATGCGTTCATATTCATATCAGCCTTAATGTAGGTGTTTTTTTCGTTGTAATACTAGTATTAAGTTTAGTTTTAAATTACTTATGTCAGTACTCTTATCGGTTCTTGTATGTCATGAACAGCCATGAGAGTATGCATATTGTAGGAGTATTAATACATATTTAGATATTGGTATTTGTATAAATATTGGCACCAGTATTAATCACAGTATTAGCATTGATATTCGTATTATTAATATTGGTATAGGAATAGTAGTCTTACTATTAGGGTTAGTTTCGCATTAGTACGAAGTACTAATCTTCGTATGAGTATGATATTAGTGTTCGCGGAGAATTGCTGTTAGAATTGTTATTAATACCAATCTTAATATCAATGTTAGTATTAGGTTCATAGATACAAGAGTTTCTAGCTACTTACATACGATCAGTTTAAGATTAGTGCAGGTTGCCGTGCTTTTCCGTAGGGATTGAATGTCACAGGAGCCGATCTTGGCCGAGTCACCTGCCAGGAACACACTGTTTTTGTACCGCGGTCTGTCATGGGGGGAATGAGCATACATATATATATATATACACACACACATACATATACACACACACAGCTAAATAGATAGATAGATAGGTAGATAGATAGGTGGGTAGGTCGGTAGGTAGATAGGTAGGCAGATAGACAGGTAGGTAGATAGATAGATAGATAGACAGATATAACAACAGGTTCAAGACGTGGATTTGGTCTTCCAGCTCCTGGGTGAGATGCGCTGCCGGGTATCCCTGGCCTTGGCGTTCACCGTAACTCGGTTCTTTAGTACTGCCGTTGTCTGTTCCACAGGCGAAAGTCTGGCTGTTTGTTTGTTAATAAGTTACTACTACTACTTTTTTCCGAGGTATTCGTTACTAAACGGTATGGAATGAAGGTTAGACTTGCTTTTTCCTTTACAGGCACAGAGTCAAGGTGAGATCCCTCAGCATTGAGGACTGCCGAGATCTTGTTGAGGCCAAGGCAGACCTGACCATCCAGGATGGCCGGGGATACACGCCCCTCCACAACGCCGTGAGGTGGGATGTAGGGGTCCTGGGTCGTGCCTTTGGGGGTTTACGGCTTAGTGTTTGGGTTTAAGGGCTTAGGAGTTTGGGGTTTGCGGGTTTAGGGTTGGGGGTTCAGAGTCCAGGGTCACGGTTTGGGGTTTAGGGTTGAGGGTTCAGGGCCGGGGTTTGGGGTTTACTATTCAGGGCTTAGGGTTTGAATACGTTTGGGTACCCCTAGTTTTTTGGTGTTGTACAGTGAGAATATGTTGCCAGATGCTATTACGCACGAACGTGTTATTGTTGCTCTCTTCGCTCATTATTCTCAGCCTAGGTACATGCACCTGCCGTTGCATACTATTGCTCCAAAGTCAAAATGCTGGATCTGCGAAAGGACCTAGCAGTAGGTGATGCGTAGGGCTCTTGCTTAGGATCAGCCCAATTCGGGTACCTAATCGCCTTGCCCCAGGATCCTTAAACCCCAGGATCCTTAAACCCTAAACCCTGAACCCTTAACCCTGAACCCATGATTCCCCGAAAGCAGGTTTCGCAACGTGGAGACGGTCAAATTTTTGCTTGAGAGTGGTGCGCGCCAGAGCCTCCGCGACAAGCTTGGCAACACCTGCTTGCACGTTATCCCGCTCTACGCGGATGACACGACCCTGCAGCTTTGCCGAGTGCTCGGCGAAGATCCGGTCTCCGGGCTATACTGCAAGCCTGTTTTGCTCCCGGCGCCTATGTACAAGAAGAACGCCCGAGCTTAAATCCCGAAGCCGGAAGTATTGACCCCCGCAGTCTCCGGAAAGCCTAAACGCGATAAACCTCAAAATGCTAAGCCCAAGGCCTAAACCCGAAGCCCCATTAACCCTAAAACCCCAAAAAGCCCTAAGCCCTAAACCCCCAAAAGCCCTAAGCCCTAAACCCCCAAACGCCCTAAAACCTAAGCCCCCAAAAGCCCTAAGCCCTAAACCAACAACAAGCCCAAGCGAACCAGCAGAAGCGCGCTTGGTCCAAGGCCCACTTGCAGAAGAAGAACCGGGCAGGGCTCCAGGCGCTCCAAATTCCAAACTATCGGTTTTAGGGTTTAGGGATTTTAGGGTTTTTAGGGTTTATGGGATTTAGGGTTTAGGGTTTAGGGTTCACGGTTTAGGGTTTGGGGTCTAAGGTTCAGGGGTTTAGGGTTCAGGGTGTTCATAAGGGTTCCTTTAACGGTTACCCGAAGGTTTATACTATGAGAGTTGCTCTATGGGTTTGGGGCTTTAGGGCTTTATGGTTGGTTTATTTTAACGTGTAGGGGTTGAGGTTTAGGCTATAGGGTTTAAGGGTTTAGGTTTAGGTTTAGAGTTTAGGGGCTTAGGGGTTGAGGTTGAGGATTGTAATGTTATGGTTCGTTAGGGCCCCTGCATAACTTCAGGCAGCAATCGCTATCGGTAGATGGTGCAATAGCTGTAGCCTTAGCCCCTTGACTTAAGCCCGAAGCCGTCTGGGGTTAGGGCTTAGTGCAGGAGTTCAGGGTTTATGGTATGGATATCCTGAATCAGGACCCAATCTCTCTCTATACCTTACGCCAACATTTTTCAAATTGTGCCTAAAAGCCGGTCATTAGAATCCCTGTGTAACCCTGCAAGGCCCCTTGGCGGTAAGCCCTAACAAACCCTAAACCCTAAACCCAAACAACTGAAACCTTAAACCCTAAACCTTAAACCCTAAGCCCTAAACCCTAACAGCTTAACACCATAGACCTTAAACCCAAACAGCTTAAACCATACGCCTTTAAACCTTAACCCCTGTGCCCTCCGCCCTAAACCGTAGCTCTTGAAGTCCTAGGTAGTATCAGGGACACCCCGTAAAGGGGATCCTTCTTCACCCTATTTATGGCTCTTCCAAGGGACCTTATTGAGAGGGTCTATATCCCCAAAAGTCCCCCTAATCCCATCTCTTATGAAGGTGCTCCAGCGACTCGAGGCTTGGGCCCTGACGGCTGTGAACGGCGGGCCCTACAATCCCGTGCTGGACCGGGCTTAGGGTTCTTTTGGGTTTGGGGTTTTTAGGGTTTAGGGCTTCTAAGGTTTAGGTTTTTTTTGTTTTTTTTGGGTTGAGGGTTTTTAGGGTGTAGGGCTTAGGGTTTTAGTTGGCTTTGGAGATCAAGGCGTGGAGCCGACAAACCTAAAATAATACTTAAGGCCCCTACGTTAGATGAAGCAAGGCCTAGCCTAGGGTTTTAGGTCTAGGGTTTGCATTAGTAGGGTCATATGTGAGTTTGTTTTGTTGTTTGGGGGGGGGGGG